TGTATTTGTGCAAGAGATTTACATAGTTCAAGGAAAGGGAAAACCAAAAGGATTTCAGCAACCCAGGCTAGAGAATCAGATTTTGAGTAAAAGAACAAGACATGTGGCACAACCAAGTGCAATTAGATCATACAATCTTGTGTGCAAAATAAGCTTGTTAGCTGCTGAGGATGTCAGGAAGGAAGATAGGAAGCAATATAGAAGGAGACTTGAGGATAGTGAAAGCAGAAGGGTGTGAAGTGATTGTGCTCTTTCAAATCAGCCTTTTAAGTTTCTGTGCAAGATTGACGATTTTGTCATCCTGCTTTTTGATGAGGTGTTGAATGAATGTTTAAGAAGGCAGCACTTATCATTGCTCATCAAAGTTTTAAAAAAACTGTTTGTACTAGAGGACTGCAGTTACCAGGTCCAGCCAGGTTAGGAGACAGTCAAGTACTGAAGATGAAAACACTGTGAAAGACATACATCAGGTGCTCACACTATAGCAGGCAATAGTTTACATCTGTGTACAAGGGAACAGACCTTGTTACTTGCTTTGGTGTTTCAGCATACCTTTGATGGTGAAAGAATAGTACAAAACATGTAAGACAAAGTACAAACCTAACATTAAAATGTGAGAAGCTGATCACACAGCATTATAACAAGAATAATGCGGTTATTAAATGGTGTCTTCTGATTGGTTGTAATTTAGGATGAATTAAGTATTATATTCGTGTCAGAGAAAACAAAAAAAAAATGGACAAAGCAGCAAACTGGTAATCAGAACTCACTGAATTCTTTTCAATTGCTAAACTGTGGGCCTTAACATCTTCTCATATAGTAAAAACTTGCAATTAATCTCTGTTTATTTACTCCAAGATTGTCCAATAACAATTGTTATAATAATTGTGTCTTTCAAGAAGTATTTTATCTGGAAAAGTTTTAACAGTAGCTTGTTTGCAGACTATTCACAGGGTTATGAGATACTTACAGACTGTGACTGGGCATCTTAAAATCATATACAACATTGACCCAAACTATGTAAATATGAGTATTAGGGTAAGAGACCTGCCTTTAATTTGATCACTTCCATGTCCATTAAGAAAAGAATTTAGTGGAGGAAAAAAAAAAAAAAAGCTACAATGGACAAGCAACAGTTAAGAACTTTAAGATATACTGAGCTATTGTTTGCAGTCATTTTCTTAATACTCATCTCCCAGACCATACAACAACCCTAATCTACATTTCTCAGATGTTAATTCTGTTCCCAGAGTCATTATAAAATTTGTTGTAAAAAAAGTGATTACTGTGACCAAGCAATATTAGGAATATTTCTGGCATTGTAGAAGAAAACTGCTGAAAGTGTTGATGAGTAACTGCCACCAAAGATAATTATGTGAAAAAGAGTGATCATTATAACTGTCCAGGGGTAGTCTTGCAGTATAAACATGTGGATCCCATATTTAAAAATACCATGAATTCCTTTTTCCTGTATGAGGCAAAGACAGGCATAAACCGTTAGAACCAACAACTAATTGATGTGGTGGATTAGTGTGCTTGGAAGCTTTCTGATTTGTAGGAAAAACACAAAAACATCCTTTTTTTCCCTCCCTCCAGAGAAACATAGCAGCAGCAGGATACTGCTAGGAACTGTACCTAGTCATAGTCTCTTAAAGAGGAGCCTGCTGAACTTTGCGATTTTTCTTTTACCCTATTATTAGGTAATTAAGCCCATACAAATTTAGGAGAGGATCCTACCTAGCACAGACAGTGAGACCCACATTGCCGAGCTTTGTTGTACAGTTATGCAGTGAGTGTCCTTCTCTCTCCTACATTTCTCAAGAACATAAGTATTTGAGACTAGCAAAAGGCAGACTATATTTTTCCAGTCCTGTTCTTCTGCACAATGGGGAATCAAGTTGAGATTCATCACAAAAACAAATAAGGCCCCAAATTAAACATAACTGTTGAAAGAAACTTGTCTTGTTTTGATGTGCAGCTGAGCAGCCTTAGCTGGAACAGTTACCGTATGTCAGATAGTCTCAGTAGGAGGCAACAAACCTGTAATGGGAATAAAGATTGTTGACAGACAAGTAACAGAGGCCGTCAGCAGCACACTTAGTTTCTTAAGCCTCAAAACCTCCATATGTCTCACAGGGATACTTTTTTTCATGTTTATACATCCTCTGACCAGTTTAACACCCTGTCTCACTTCCGCCTGCTAATACCTGCAAGTGGTAAATAGCGACTGGCTCCATTTAATTATAATTTGTACCCCAACTGTGAATATATTTACTGTATCTGCTAGAAGCTCCTGGCTGAGCAGCAGCTGACTGCGGGAACAGAGAAGACCTCCCTTCCCTGAGATTGCAGGTGGTGGACAGCTACTTCTCTTGGCAGTCACCATGTGTTTTGACTGTTTCTTCTGCAATGCCACTACTTATGTATTATCCCTTCCTTGTGTGTTAGGATGGTCAATGAACAGCCTTAACGTCATCCAGTTTATTCCAGTTGGCAAATATTCACATTGAAACTTAAATAAATGGTAAAATGCAAGAGGTAAATGTAATGATCATGAATGTGAAAGGTAATTCAGGATTCCACCCAGGCTGAAATAGGCAGCTGAGAAAATTTACTGAGCTCTAGTCTCTTACTAGTCTCTTATATGCTTTTCATTCTCCTGTGTAGTTCTGTGGAGACCTAAAAATTTAAGATCTGGCAGAAATCCTGAGTGCCTGGTCCTGTCTACTAAATGGAAACATATATGGACTGCCAAGTTTCGATTAGGATTTGGATTGGGATCCAAGTTTCCTTATAAACACATGAAGTAATCTTTCTGTTCAATTCAGTACCCATCAGGCCCTTGTTAGTACATCAGTCCAGTCTTGGGCACCTCATTTCTAAAAAATTGGCCAATTGGAAAGGTACCAGGAGAGCAATAGGAGGTCTAGAAAACATATACTACTAGGAATGACTACAAAAAACTTGGATTGTTTAGTCCTTAGGGGTTTAGGTTGATTTGTTTTCTATTGAGAGTTATTTCCAAGACAGATCATTCCAATGATTTTGTTTATAGTGCTGCTATACTTGAAGGGTTGGTGAACTTCAGCACAGAGGCAGGAAAATGTATCCGGGGTAGGGGAGGGCTGGAACTCCTTAAGCCATCTTTGTCAAGAAATCTAACAAATCAGATAACTACAATGCTGCATTCAACCATATATACTGGGGTGGGTGTTGTTTTTTTCTCTTGGTGTATGAACTGCTACCATTCTTCGGTCAGTATGAGTCGTAAGTTATAAAACCTCCATCCCAGAAACAGGTCGGCTAATGAATTCTGACACTGTCTATGCCTAATCTCCATCAAAGCATAGAGCTCAAGAAATCTTGATCTCTGATTAATGAGCTCAGTACAGTTGGCTCTACCTGTAGCCATCCCATCTCCACTGCATGAATTAAATCCATGTGAAGGAAGCAAACTGTTTATCTTCCCTCCTGCATGATAGTTCTAGAACTTTGGCTAAATCTGATGACATGCTTCCACGTTAGTGATGAAGGTGATGGACAAGGCATCGTAGAGTGCAGATCTGAATTCAACTGACAGCATTGATATGTCCCCAGAGTCGCTTCCAGAACTTCCTTTACTTAAGATTATCTCATCTAACTTTGGACATTTTACAGAGATTGGTGGTGTTTAGAACTGTTCTTTGGAGATGCCTCTCTTCATTGACAAGAGGGAAAAACGTAGGATAACTGTTCCTGGATTGTTTCTGTTAAGTGTCAGGTGTATACTAGCTAAAATGATTCCTGTCATTCTTGTAGCTAAACTTAAACTCCTCCTTTGCTAATCAACAGCTCTCACTATTGCATTGTTAATGAAGTTCTCTCTTCCCATGTACTCTTGCTTCTGACACCCTTCCATTTACTTGGTCTACAGAACACTGCTAAGTGGTCCTTGTTATGCTATGATATTAAAGCTATAAAAGCAGTAGATAAGGAAATGAGGAACACTTTAGTTTCCTATAATCCCCTTGTGGGTCTGAGAAAAGACTCTAATAGTTAGTCTTTTACATGGTATGTATGCACCATGGAGATTTCACATCTTATGCTGATATTGTGCTAATGCAGGAAGGCTCAGAGGTCCTGTTCCCACAGCCTTCCAGAAGTTTGGATGCATATCTCAGTCTTATCCAAATCATCAGATGTGGGAATTGGACTGGAAACCTCATGGGACCCTAGAATTTTGGCTATAGTTGATCTAAAGATGACACGTTAGCAACTTGCTTTGCAATCTTTCAGTACTTTCACTTCTGATTTAGAGCAGGAAGGGTGGAGGTCTTAGAAAATATTAAATAATAATGAAAAGCACTGAACTGATTTTATCTGCACATGAAGTTTTAGTTTTAAGTAAAGGATCAAGTTAAGGTTCACATTGGTTATTATTTGATATTTATGCCCATAAGTGTGGCATCATTTACATGGCAACATAAGTTTGTATCTTAAGCTGCCTTCAAAGACTACTGTAAAATCTGTAAGATTGTAAGATTACATTTTAATGGAACTGCTTTTTCTTGCTGAAAATACTTCCAAAGGCGAGTCTGTCTTAGCCCATCTTCCATTTCCTATCTTCTACTCCATCATCTTTGGCTTTCTGTTGTCAGTAATTCTTATACAAAACAAAGAAAAGATAAGAACAATATAACTTGTCACCTGGGGATGTTTTCAGCTTGCTTTGCACAGGTGTAAATGGTGAAACAGAGTGGAAACACTGTCAGTGGCCTCTCATTCCTTAGTACTTCACTCTTTCATGAACCACATCCAACCTGTTTTCTTATTGCTTTCAAACCACTCTTTTTCAAGATACCTACTAAGAGAGCTTTTTGAACTACTAAATCTTTAATGTTTTGCCTTTTCAGTGACTTTGTTTGATGCAAACCAATGCCAGTCAAAGCTACCTCTTCAGAGAAGTTCACTGGAGGGTGTACAAACAAAATTTCTGAAAAATCAGTTCAAACGAATGTTACGAAGTTCCATTCTCTCCAGTTGCCCACCAAGAGCAGCAGCTTCCTGTCACCATTTGGGAAACTGGAAAGTTTTGGAAGCTCTCAGTCATGATCACATTCCATCCAGCTGAATTCACTCCTCATTTGCAGTATTTCTGCAGGCAAGGGAGGGAGTGAGTGCCTGTGGATTGCCTCATATATGGGCTAATCTCTGAAAAGGAAAGGAAGATGCAAAGTGGTCCTGTTTCTCTATGTTAAAGGACTTCAACTAGAGTTACAGACATTTAAAGTGCTTTTTAAGAACTTATTACACAAATGATGCAGCTGTAGAGAAATGGCCACTGCCTCATTTCACTGCAGACAAGTTGTATTTGGTCACAGGATCAAGTGGTTCTCATTGCAGGGTATGTTTGGATCCATTGCAGTACTGCCTTCATAATGCATCTGGTTCTCTGTCAAATGTCCTATCAGATTACTTGAAATAGTTTCACTCAAGCTCTAGGATATTTTTTTTGCTCATATTCTAGCATATTTCTAGGAAACTTTTTGTTTCAAATTACTGTAATTTTTATAAAAACATGGGACATTTAGAATTACAGAATTATGTAAGAGCAATTTTTCACTAGTACTTTTTACAGTCCCTCTGTGCAGAGAAAGACAGCCAGTCAGCTTTCTGTTGCCTTGTTATTTATATAATGATCATTTTTATAAACTATAAAAATACAGTTTATTTAAGTTAAATATATTTGGTTTCTATTGGGAATATGTTTCTAGCCTTTGGGACCTGTAAAGACAGCACATGCATAGCTACAGGGCACATCTCAAGTTGATGTTTTAAATGTTTCTAATTATAATGAGTTGGAAATGGTTTGGCTATTGAAAGCTATGCTTTTAGAGTGGATGTGGTCAAAGGGGATTAGTTGTAATTGTTGAAGTTTACAGAATCACGGCTGTAGAATAACAGCGTGCTATCTGTTTTAAAACCATAATGGAGGCCACAGCATTTCTTTTTTAATTATTTTATTTTTCTTTCCAAGTTCCTAAAAAGCATGGAACCAGAAACAAGTCACTAATAACAAGAATTTTCCTCCAAGAATATTGATTTTTGATAGCTTTTATTATCACACCTAATTACAAGTCACATTATAGTATGGAAATTTTTTACCTTACACATTTTCTTGGAGTTAAAAGTTTTAAGTCATGGAAATGCCTGAGCCCAAGCAATGTTATAAAAGAAGGTATAAGAAACAAGCATCACAGTATGTTGAAGTTTCACTTTTTTTTCAGTTTTCACAGCAAAGAAACAGGAGCTCCAGAGAAAAGTTAATATTGGTTGGAACAGAAAAAGAACAAGATCAAAATGAGTTAGATGATTTATCTGGTTTTAACTTGATAAAATTTACTCACTCTACTGAGTAGGCTGGCCAAAAGTCTATAGAGATTCATTCTGAAAACTTGTGGAAAAAAAAAAGAAACACTCCTCAGATAACTGAGGAAGCAGTAAATATGCTACATTTCTTTAAAAAGGGAAAAACAAAGACCTAGAGACAAGTCAGCATATCCTGAGAAAAATACAGGGAAAATAATTTTTAAATACATGGTTATAAACACAAAAGAAATTACTGACCAAAAAGAATTAATCAAAGAGAAGTAATACCATAGCAACCTAATTTTCAGTTGTGATTAGATAAAAATCTTCATTTATAGGAAAGAAGTAAGTAGACATCATAAATTTCAGAAAGATTTTTGACTCTAATCTCTCTAATGATATCCTCATAAGTAAGATCAGCAAGCAAAATCTTACAGCCATACTAGGGAATTAGCAGGTTTTCACTGCAAACCTGAACAGAGGCACCAAGTTCCAAGACTCTCTTCAGGATATCTCCTAATCAGAAATTCATTAATGTCTTGAATGAAGGACGAAAAATATGGTTATTGAAGTTGAAGGCAATATGAAGCCTATAATAGTTGCAAATATTTTGGCAGACTGAATAAGAACTCAAAACAATATTGACAAATTAGACAAACTATGAAATAAAAAAATGGGCATTTAACTGGGACCTGTTCAAAGCACAGCATTTAATCAGAAGTAATCAAACTTACAACTACAGAATGAGGAATAATTGCTTACATTTATTCCATGTATCTGAGGTGGTGTATCACAAATTAAACATGAATCAGTATTATCATATTAATGTAAAAGTAAACATGCATAAATGTGTGAGTATGCATACATTCTGTGCAGAAATATGAAATGTTCCTTCATGTATTAATACTGGTAAGATTTCAGTAAGAGGACTATGACCATTCTGTGGGCACAAGCACAAGAGTATCCAAAGGTCTAGAAAACCTGACAGCTTTAAGGAAAACATTGAAAAACTGTGCTAGAGAGCAGAAATTGGTAGCTAGTTAGGTAGGTGTGATAATAAATACTGAATATGTAAAAGGTTTCTGCAAAGAAAATATCTCATTTTCCAAGTTAGTTTAGAGTTTAAACAAGAATTAATAGGCTCAAATTACAAGAAGGCCATTTCAAATCATAGAAATATAGAATGGTTAGGGTTGGAAAGGACCTTAAGATGATTTAGTTCCATTCCCACTACCATGAGCAGAGACACCTCACACTAGACCGCATTGCCCAAGGCTCTGTCCAGCCTGGCCTTGGACACTGACAGGGATGGAGCATTTACCACTTCTCTGGGTAACCTGTTCCAGCGCCTCACCACTTGCACAGTAAAGAACTTCTTCCGTATATGTAACCTGAACTTCCCCTGTTTCAGTTTAAACCCATTGCCCCTTGTCCTGTTGTTACAGTCCCTGATGAAATGTCCCTCTCTGGCATCCTTGTAGGCTCCCTTCAAATACTGGAATGCTGTTCTGAGGTCTCCACACAGCTTCTGTTCTCCAGGCTGAACATCCCCAACTTTCTCAGGCTATCTTCATACAGGAGATGCTCCAGTCCCTTGATCATCCTCATGGCCATCTTCTGGACCTGTTCCAACTGTTCCATGTCCTTTATATGTTGAGGAGACCAGAACTGTATACAGTACCCCAAGTGGGGTCTCACGAGAAGAGAGTAGAGTAGGATCACCTCCTTCGACCTGCAGATTGGATTCTAAAACACTTTCTAATGTAGACGGAGAGGAGCTTACCTGGCAGGTCATAGAATTGAATTTTTTGAAGGTGTCTGAGGGCAACCATCTGTCGAGTGTTGTTCTCCTAACTAAGGCCAGGGGAGTACCCACAGTGGTCTGTCATCCTTTCAGACATACTGTCTATGACAACACATAGGCTCTTACCGCCAAGCCTGTAGCACTTGAAGAATATGAAATTTTAGAGCGTTAATCTTGACAGCCTATTTTTTATTGCAGTAGTATAGACGTGCAATCACAGCCAATGACTCTACTGCATAGACCTTGAGGAAAATACAAAATTTGCTCTGCCATCAAAGTCAGTTTCGTTAGATGGGGAAAACACTAGTTTTAAACTTCATACTGTTATGTCTCAATTTCTTTTTTTATACATTCCTGCTGAACTTAACAATGACTCAAGAATAATCAAATGCATATTTTCACCCTTACATCAAAGGCATTTGATTTCAATCCCGTCTATTCCAAGGTTTTGAAAGGTTTTAAGGACTTCTGCTTGTAGATCCATGTCAGATGCGTTGGTGTTCTCATGCTGACCTTTGAAATTTTCGTCTACATCACTGGCACCTAGGAAATGATTCCTTTTGTCTTCAATAGATTTGTATCAAACTCATAAGAGAGTCTCCTGAGAAAATCTGTAAATAATACTGAATAATTTGCAATCTAGACAAAAGCTACTTTTCTTCTTGTAACTATCATGTAATTCCAGTGGGGTATCCGGGACATATAGAGAGTAGCAGTGTAGGAAATTACCATTTTTAGCATTATTAGGTCCCTGTTACTAAAGCGTGATAGATCAAGACTATTAAACTAAGTTAAAAGAAAAATACTCAATAAAATTTTCCCTCCTCCCCACCAAATACTGCAGAGGTTAGACTATGCAAAATTGTCATGGAAAATTATGCACTTTTCAACTTCCAAATACACAAAACACACTCAATAAATCCAGGAACACTGGTGATGAGATCAAACTGATAATAGTTCTGAAGAATTCAGCTACATTTGGCTCCAGTTAAATAGCGTAACTAGGTATAATTAAGCTAGTTACTGAAGACAAAATGTAAATGTAATAACATTACGCCTGATTACCTCCTTTCAACTGCTCCACTGAGGATATAATGGAACGTAAGATTGCAAACAAACTTCACCACAAAAAATTACTATCTTTTATTATATGAATACTTGTGTTAGCTTAGGTATTGTACTGAAGAGGACATATCATTTCCATCATTCAAGTGCAAGACACTTAAAATGGGTTTATTCAGTACAAGTTTCTTATTTAAGAACTGTTCTCCTTCAGCTTCAGGTGTAACAGTGACTTGAAATGGTCTAACATGGTGTTATTTTCATGGATAATATGACAAAATATAACTTCATTTCAAAATATAACATCCATTTTAACGTAAAGATTAATAATGGCACATTTTATGTCAGTATCTTTGAGGTTTTGTGGGGTTTTTTTTTGGTTGCTGCCCTTGTTAGAAATGGGTGGACCCAGCCTAGTTTTGCTGGTGACACAGTTCAGAATGCAGCAATAAATTTCTGTAGAAAGAATTGACTATATTCTTCGCATCACTTTTTGGATGAAAAATATAATTAAAAAAAAACACAGCAAAACACTGTGGTAGTGTTTGCACAGCGTTCTTATTATCTGATAGTTTGTTACCCACATAACTTTAGGCACCCTACTTAACTTTTTTTCATTTACAGCATAAATACTTTAGGTCGTGTCTCACATGGGAGAAATATTAAAGTCCACTGTTCTGTATTAATATTCTCACAGAAAATCAGGAAAGCAAGTTTGAGTTTTCTTTACTCTGAAAGTGTGAAAACGTGAAAATGTGAATTTAAGACTAATATAAACATGATAGGCCTTGGCTAGTATGAACTCTCTGATCTGCTTATATCAATGGCATGACATTTGGTATATATGAGCTGACTATCAAGACCTATTTAAGGAGCCTTCACAACTTCTCTTGAGATGAGAGAGCATTATTCTTTTCAGCTTATGTATGGAAAATTATATATGGCTCCTTTGCAAAAGTAGACCATTTAGCCTTCAAAGTAGGTCATGGGTCTTAACTGACTCTTCCTTCACATTTGCCGAGTCTTCTTATATTACAGAGTTCCCCACATTGTAGCTCCTCTTATTTCCATCTAAGCATCTTGTGCTAATTCTCAAGTTAACATTAGTTACAACTACTGGAAGTCGTGTTTAGAGTTTTTGTTTAGACAGCCAGCCATATCTTTTCTGCTTGGCAGTAATTAAGCACCTCAAGCTACTGAAGAGGCCTTTGCTGCTGTTGGGTACCACTGAGGATGGAATAAGCTAATTTGGGGAACTGTTTTTACTCTCTCACAAGCAGCAGACTTGCAGCTCTGTATGCAACTGTGCATTCACTTTGCTTTTTCAAATCTGAGTTTCAAGACTGAGAGGCCATTAATGCAGAATTGTTCTCAGGCAGCTATAAGAAGCTCAGTGGATATTCAGATATTTCACAGTAAAGGTAAAGTTTTCTTAGTTTATAAATGGAACTCTATCCATAGCAATGCTGATTTTTTATAATGCTACAAATAAGAATCATATCATAAAAATCTTGCAACAGCAGACTTTATCAATTGGGGGTTTTTTAATTGCACATGATTGATGTGTCTGTCAACATTTATATTTGCATTTTTATACCAATATTTAAACAAAGGAATCCTTCACTTTCATCTCGTTACAGAGTTGAGCAAGGTATTTTTTTTTCCCCATTATTTCTTGTTTAATATGTTCCGTTTTGTGAGGGGCTTCAATAGGTCCTAGACCTACTGTTTATCTTGCAGTTCTCACTGAAGTCTTTCTTACATGTAAAGACTAGAGACCTTGTATCTGTTGCCAGCCTAATGTTTCTCACTAAGTAAAAACAAAGGTTCTGGTTATTGCATTAGAATTTATATATCTTAATATCAAAATATTATGCAGCTTATATAAATACAGAATTTTATATATATTTAAAAATGCACCCAGGAAAAGCCACCACTCATTCTTGACAAAAGGAGGTCTTTCATGTTAAATTGGCCAGTTTGATGTTCTCTCTCTCCTTCATACACATAAACTGCATCATCAGTTTACTTCCCAATAAAAATCAGCTATTGCCTTCTCATGCTTGACTAACAGCTGCTGCCCAGCTAACATGAAAGTCTCTACTTCCAGTCAGAGAAGAAGTAGCACCCTCGCTCCTGAGTTCAATGCCCATACAGAATGGCTTTTGCATTGTATATAAAGCAGCCATTTAAAAAAAATATTACAGCAAAAGAACTTCTTCCTCACATCTGCTCCACAATAAAGTCCACATGGTTCCACATTCTGAACAGACTGCATTCAGTTTTCAGGGACAGAAAATCAGCATTTCCGTGAAAAGCCCTGAATTCCAAGTTACACTGTTGGGTTCAGTGGATCTGTGTTTACCAAAAGGAATTTTTAAGTAAATGAAAAAATATATGGATTTTCCAGTACTACCTTGTTCAGACAAAAAACATAGAATATATTGAGAAAGAAATTATTGCAGATTCTTTTTTTTTTTCTTTTTTTAAGCAGGTAGCAATTCAGCAAGGTTTTTCCACCTGATCTATTTGTCACATTATTTGTTGGCTTGGTCTACTTGGTCTAGGATGTTCTTTACAGTTTCTAAACACTTTTGCCCTTCCTGTAATTTCCCTATTGTTAGACCCTTAGTGACTACTGATTTAGATGTATAATTGTTCTGACTACTACTGTTTTAATATCAGGAGAATTGTTGGAGCCAGGCATACTACCTGGATAAACAACTTAGAAGTTATTTGGTTGGAGATATACTTATCCTGTATTAAGATTCAATGATAAAACAGCATAGCCATCCAGTTACTCTAGCAATATTTGAAAAGAGATCTCTTAAAGTCAAGTAACTTCTACTGCTCCCAAATCAGCATGCTCTTGGGCAGAAAACATAGAGATGAAAATTCCTGTCTCCCATTACTGGCCCCTTGAGCCATCCAGTATACCAGAAAGAGTCTGTTTTAAAGAAAAAAAAAAAATTAATCATATTTATTACAAACAGAGCAAAATGTTTCTGATATCTGAAAGACAAAGATAGTGTGGCCGTTAGGGTTAGTCTTACTATATCCCAGAATGTCAACACACTTGCCAAAAGCGAATTTATCAGCTCAGTTCAGCCAAGAGATTTAGTTTATCTAAATGTCCTACAAGAAATAAATAGTTTACCACTGGTTTTGAAGATTGTGGGAAATCTAACATTTCTATTGACATATGCTGTAGATTTAATTTAATGCTGTGGTTCAGATGTCTCTTATGATAAATTTTATTAAGATCTATGCTAAGAAGAATAAAGCTGTTTCAGTATTTGTCGGGTTTAAAATGCAGGGTTAGCAAAGGAAACATTAATTGAAACAATGTTTGTGTATATTCTTGCAATGGTTTAAAGAATTTTACAAAAGTTTGCTGGTCAGTTGGTTCTGAATATTAGAAGTTTAATAGTCTTCAGGCTTATTGACTTTTCTATAGTAAGAAAATCCTCTAATGAAGTGATTAAATAGCTCAATTTTTATTTTTTAGGCATATTGGAAATAACATCTGTAGAAATTGGAGTTGTGGCAGTTAAATCTATTAAGAGCAACTATTATTTAGCCATGAACAAGAAAGGAAAAGTCTACGGCTCTGTAAGTATTTTTTAACCTTCCGAATGGATTTCAGTTATCCACATAGTTCTCTTTTTTACTTATTGAAAACCCTAATACTGTGTATTATGACTAATGAGAGCTGAAATAAGCTGTTTCATCCTCTGGTAAACCAGCACCCTCACTCTCCACAATCTCCCCTTTGTTTGTTAAGCTTGTATCACACCAAAGCAGCTGCTGGGAGTTATTGTGCTTATTGCTTCAGTCAGTTTTCTTATTAAGTAGTGGCCAATGGAGAGGATCCTACAAAATGTAATCTTTAAAGCTGTTTTTCTCTGGTTTTCTGCAGTGCAGTCACATTTATCAGTAATTTACTATGTGTGGATAAAGTGTACCTGAAATCTTGGAAACATCAGCTGTTGAAGCAGACACATCCAATATGAAATTACAACTTTGAAGATTTCTAGAGTAGTCAGCTTCCAATTGAGTGTACTAATTAACAAACAAGATTATGGGCAGTACAGACAGATGTGAACTTATATATAAGCAGATAAGGTTTGACTGAGCAGAATTTGGGTATAATTTGAAGAGTGTCCGATACAATAATCTATAAATCTGACTACTAAACTCAAGTGTACCCTCACACATCCATGTGATTACACAAATACCAGATTGTTCTAGTATTACATTTGGTTTGGTTTGTAATTTTGCCTGTAGTTAGGCCAGTTTTGCCAGTTCCAGTGAGTATGAGCCCACATAAATGTAAACTTATTCAAGTCATATGCAAAGGTTATGAACCAATCTTTAGATTGCTTTCAAATACCTATATGCTTAAAAAAGAGCAGGTCACAGATAGATACTGGGGCTGGCTTTATCCTCAGGCGATACAGCTAAGCCTCTTACCTCTGCTGAAAAGAATGAAGTAATGCCAGTTTCAACTGCAACTCCAGGGGCTTAAAGTCATTTGGTCCTGTGTTTTAAGGAAGCGTTTCTATGGGTTGGGTGTAGTTCATACAAACTATATAAACTGTCCTTCTTGATCTGCATTGTAGCTAGTCACTCCTTTCTAAACTCCTGTACAGTGTCGAAAAATCACATTCAGGAGAGACCAAAACAAAGAAATTTTTCTTAAACTCCTGTAAATGTGTATTTTAATTTCTAGTATTACACTAGTCAGAAATACAGGATAATCAGTGCTCAGTCCTGCACCACTGGGAGGTGTAAGATATACTGAGTTGCTGACAAAGTGACCTTTTGTAACTTAAGTTACACTAATTGATCGTGGATATGCGTCTGCACTTACGTGAAGGTGATAGCATAAATCATCATCTTCAATTGACACATCTCATTTTACAGTGTTTGATTTAGTCATTTATGATGGTCCTTCCCAAAGCTTGAGAAAAGATCTTTCTACCCATGTTTTAGCCACAGCTGGTATATGGTGAGAATCCATCCCAACCCTATATGCACGCAAAAGAAGTCAAAGCAGCTTTCAGGTACCTAGGTGGAAACTGCTTCCATAAGATTCAGTAATTCATAGCGTATTAGAAATAGTGTTGACAGGAGGATACGAAAGTGGAAAGCCTTTTTTTTAATTCCAGCTGAGATAATTTTTCAATATTCACATCATAAAATCACAACATAATGGCTTATCAAAACCTATTCCGTAATACCTCAGAGATTTCAAGAATCCTTCTATTATTTTTCCCATCCTCCCAAGACTTGCAGTTAGACTCATATTACTACAATGTGGCAGCTTGCAGATGAATATGAAAACCAGAACCAATAACAATTTTAAAAACACTCTTGAGCATGTGCACAATAGACACTGGTGTAGGTTTATGCTGAAATTTGTTTGAAATGAGCAAAGCAGTACTGAGCTGACACTCAGACCCCTGCCAATAAGACTTCTTAACCACATCACAACATCATCTGTTCTCTCTTTATTATCTAAGAATAGAGATAAAAGTTTGGATTTGAGTACAGTTCTGCATCTGGGAAAACAAGTTAAGTAAGACTTTCTATGTTTATCAAATACTTTTCCATTTGACTTACTTTGGTTAGAATGAGAGACTAAAAGAAGACTATTTGGTTTCTTTAACAAAATAAGCAGATGACAGAAGTTACTGCAGTTTAGAACTGATTGCTGGTCACCTGCCTCCTTAGTATCTTGACACCAGAGGTGGCATGTTGCAGTAAATAAATATTAAATTAGCTATGTATATCTTTATGAATACAGGCAGTATCAAGGGTCATATAGAGTCTTCTCTTGATCGTGCCAGACATTGTTCAACTAACTACTAATTCCAAAGTCAAAGAACATTTTGGGAACCAAATTAAGTCTGAATATACAAAATTCTGCTAGGAAAATATAAGCATTCTGTGGCCTTAGCAGCAAATAAATGAAATATTAATTACAGACCCAAAAGTTCTTACTATATCAAAGTACTGATCATTGGCAGTTTAAAAATTCTGATTTAAATTAATAGGAATGAAAAATATATTTTTAAAATATATCCTTTTTTATTCATGTGGATATTTTCTATATCTTTACTAGCTGAATATCTGAGGATTTTGATCATAATAAAAGATAAAATGCCCCTAAAATTCTTATCTGTGCCATGAAAATTGTTTTATTGTTGAGACGTATTTATTGTCTTGTTCATAGACAGGGTAAACATACCACATGTAGTTAATATATCACACTCTAAGATTGTGACATGCTTCTGCCTGAGCTGTGAAACGACATCTCATTTTCTGAATACAAATTTTTGGTTGTAATTAAAGTATGTTGTAATTATTCCACTTTCAAAAGCCTTCTAAGTGGAATACAAGTAACTTGATAAAACTAGGGAGTTTTATACCCACTACAAACAAGTAGAAAGTACTTGTTTGTTGAAACAAAGCATTCTTATCTTCATTGTACAGAAGATATGTATAAAAGTGCATTTAACATTATAGACAAAAATGGTCTTTCTCCTACATGCTTCCACCAGCTTGTATTTTTGTATTTTTGTATTTTTTTTTTAGCAAACTGTCAACTGGCTCTCCTTTATAAACAAAAACCCTAATCCCTAGCACCATATAAAAAAAATTGCTTTCAGGTTTATTTAGTCAATAAGATACAGGACCATCCATGATTCTTCTTTAGTCTAAGCCCTTTTCCAGGTCTGCAAAGTAAACAAGCCTCACATGCATCGTAACAGCAGTGTAACAGTGACTTGCACACATCCAGAAATGCCAGTGTGGTGTAAAGGATCTTACTTAAATAAGAAGTAGGCCTATGCCATGAATGTTTGTTTAACATATGGTATCAATAATCTCATTCAAGATATTTAAGAGTTATATTTGTTATGATTAATGGTTCCAAGATTGCTACCTCATACTTTGAGTTTATGACTGAGAATATGATTTAACATTGTTGCTATATTCCAACACAGAGTTTAAATTCAGCTATGAGTGAATTATATAATTTCACCGCTGTAATTATGCACCAAAAAAAAAAAAGTCTTATGTTGATTTCACCTTTTACAGTCTAACTAATGTTGCTTTAAATGCTGTGCACACAATGAAACTTTTCTTTAAGTACACTGTAGAATTCTAAAAGTGTGTTGCATACACACTGCTCAAATGTTCCAAAACACTTTTAGAAACTATTTACCTTCATTATACTGCAACTCTGACAGATTATGTTTATTCTGAATTTGTGTATTTGGTTTCTTCTTTTAACAGAAGGAGTTTAACAGTGATTGCAAATTGAAGGAAAGAATAGAAGAAAATGGATATAACACATATGCGTCATTAAATTGGAAGCACAACGGAAGGCAAATGTTTGTGGCCCTGAATGGAAGGGGAGCCACAAAGAGAGGACAGAAAACAAGAAGGAAAAACACTTCAGCTCACTTTCTTCCAATGGTAGTGATGTCATAGATGAAGGAACTATTCTATTGATACAGTTGAACCAAAGGCTCTTATGTCAAGAATATTCAGTAATCTTATTGAAGAGTAAATGCAAAGAAATAGTGCAGACATCTGCTTGTTTGAAAAGAGAGCAGGGGAAGCATTTGAAGGTTTTGTACTCATTACTGGCATATGAAATACTTTTAATCAGTTCAGTGTCATATCTTATAATCAAGATATAAGCTGGATCAATGGGGATGTAAGTTACTGCCAGTGTGAACAATTTTTTTTAATTTTATTTTATCTCTGCAACAGAACTTAACGAACATGAGACAATCTGTTGAATGATCTTCATGGGGAAAGTTATTTATGGAATACTAACTCGTATCAAAGACCTTAGTTGCTCGTTCAAGCCTAATGATCCAATGAACAGTTAGACACACAAACATTTACTGGAAGCACTTGGGTCATATGCACAAATTATGACATTTCTGGAGGAGCCTTGTGGACGAATGGATAGACTTAAGGAATATAAGCAAAGTAGTATAAAACTGTTCTAACAAAATGAATAGTATGGTTTGCTTGTATGTTCAAAATTCATTTCTTTTTATTTCTCTCTTAAGTTATTTATTTAATAGGATGTTAAATATCTTTCTGATTTGAAATATTTTCATTTACTTCTCTGTTATTTTCCCTTTTTCTCAGTACTTCACACAGAGGTTGATAGATTTAAATGTCAAAACCTCAGAAGTACTCTGAGAATAAGTAGTAGACAAGGCTTTAAAGGCAGAATTTAATATGTATAATCCATTTTTTTTCCTAAACTGTCTTGCACTTAAGCAAAAAGACCAAACAAGCAGTGCTTGCATTTGTGGTATTGGGTGTCTTTATGTTGGAGAGGATAACTTTTTTTAGTTATCAACACTCAAGAGCAAAATTCAAAAAATACTTTGTTCAAAGGGTCTTTCTGTTGAAATAGAGAGAAGGGGCCACATATGTACTTGGGTGTCAGTGCATGTGTATATTCATCTGACTGATTCCAATTTAAAACTAAGATTCAACGCATTGCAATCAGTGAAATATTCTGCAGCAAGCATTGGGCTGGAACATAGATGTTGACAGCCGTGTTAAAGTCACTGAGATTACAAATGTTAAAGAGTGTGAAGATCTGATGCATCGCAATCAGTGAAATATTCTGCAGCAGGCATTGGGCTGGAACATAGATGTTGACAGCCGTGTTAAAGTCACCGAGATTACAAATGTTAGAGTGTGTAACTCCCAAGTGTAAAATTTGGCATTTGAAACATAAGTAAAAATGGACACGCAGTCCTGCACTGCTTACTCAACTAATACACCCATTCAGCACATCTGTTCTAGTTATCAGCTTGTAGAATCACATGCATATAGTGGGAAAGATACCTAAGTAAGGACTGAGGGACAGGAGATCCAAAGTCATACTCATGCATTTATCAGAGATTATTATTCACATGTATATTATATATGAGACACAACCAGAAAGCTGTGCTGGTTATCCAGCTTTAGCCTGCCTTTCATATCCATCATAGTAACTGAAGGCTTAAAATACATAGTATCCAGCACATTTTTATGAAGTGTTACTAGTCCCATGGCTTAACTTGAGCAACTGCAGTATAATAAAGTTAAGCATAATATGAAGTCTGTTCAATTAAAGGTACATAAGGTATGTTTTATGTTTTGCTTTACTCTGTAATTTTAGAGAGCTCTGGATAGCTCACCAATGTAACCATATTGAGATTCATTTTGTTAGAGCAGGTAAATAGAAAACAGTACATCAACCAATTTTTACCACTGTCTTCACATTGTATTCCACTAAATAAATCAATAAGCCTTTTTCAGTGTCTTTAGTAAGAAACAAAAGTAGTATAATATTATTTTGTTCTAAATACTTTAACTGATAAGTATGAGATTATATGGATGCTGCAGTTTTATCTTCAATATTTCTTGTTGTGAAAAAGTTGGTTCTATTTTTATTGTTTGGAAGCTGTATTTTGGTACAAGGGAGAGCCTTGCTTAATGTGTCTTTTTGAGAATGTTTAACCTCTATAAAGGCTGGTGTAGTTGGAATCTTCTGTAAGTTATTTAAGTCAATGTTTAACCAGCACTTCGATCTTAACCTGTTATTTAAATATTAGCTGTTCTTTTTTTTTTTTTCAAAAAAATGGCAAAAAGAAAAAAAAAAACAGCTTTTCCGTAAAATACAAAATAGTCAGATTGTATTTCCTGTCCTTATATAAAGTCAACTGTTTCAACCCAAGAATTCTTTGAGAGACATTTTAGCTGATAGCTGGCATTGTATTTCATGGTACTTTATCTCCAGCTTTCTTCTTCACAAATGAGATTTTTGTAGAAAGGGAAATAAGAATTTCAGACCTTAAATGTAATTGCAGGTCATAGCAAAACTTAACTGCCATGATAAAGACAAGTTTCTGTTGTTTAAATTTGTAATCACTAATTAAAACTGACAAGACCTAAAGGACCACCCACAGAGAACATTCAATGTGAGCTTGGATGAATGCAGTATTGGATGACCACTTAAAGAACATATAGGGTACAAATGAATTTCTCTTTTGACAGAATTACCTAAATGACTTGGTCAGGGAAAGGATTCTGCATAAATATGATCATAGTACTCAAAACACCATGCTGCTCAGAGGCCAAAATCAGGAAATACCACTTTTCCAAAGTGAATCAAGAACCATTTGTGGCATGAATAGTGGTTTCTGAAAATTAACCAAAATAAAAGGACCTTGAAGGAATCATTGATTCCTGTGTGTTTGATATACTGTCGTGGGAGGAAACTGCAGACACTCTATCTAGAGTATCACAGATCCTCAACCATAAGCTCTGTTTTATGTCACCCTTCGCATAACAGACTCCTGAGCAAAAGAAATATAAGGGTAGGGATTTTTAAAAGAGAAATAAAAATCACTGAGCAACAATGCATAGTATGTTATATTAAAAAAAAAAAAATCAACGTGGGGATAGAGAATAAAAATAATGTCCATGTTTGTTTTATTAACCTGAAAAGATACTGCACAATAAAAATAAAAAGGGAAAATACCCATTGTACTACAGGATGTGGTTTGGTGCTGTATAGCCCCAAAACAAAACAAATATCACTTGAACATTTCTGAGTTTCTTTAATTTTTTGCATGTGTGAGTCAGCTATCTCCACACTAATAACAACCAAATGCTTTAGATTCTTCCTGTAAGTATTCAAATCCACTTAGTTTATAAAGTGGAAAAAGCAATGAATTTAAAGCAAGTACATTTGATGAAAGAATGAAGGGCTTTAGGAAGAACATGTACTCACATTTTTAAAGTAAACTTTAGACATGGAAAAATAGTTACATTTTATATAAGACTTTATTCAAGACATTTCATGTTATGAAGTTCACTAAGGGTTAGTAACTTTTAGTAATAAAAGACTACCAGTGTATCAGCACAACTGTAATTTCTGTCCCTTCTGAAACTGATTGTCTCTATTCACACTATCAGTCATAACTGCTTCAAGGAGTGATCTTGTAACCAATGCATGGAGACAGCCCCTCTTTTGTAGTATCAAGTATCGTTATTTACTTTACTAAGTTAGATTGTGGGGCAGAATTCATCCTCCTAATTTTCTATTAAATTAGAGAAAAGGAAGTGCAAGACAACACATATTTTGCTGCAGATAGTAAATGCCTGATTACTGATGGTATTTTTCAGAAAAAGCTCATTGATTGAATCAATGCTGGTGCAACTGCAAGTAACAAACACATGCAAAAAGATATAAAAAGTTGTTTCCCATCATATTGTAAGCAAGAAATCAAATATGGAAAATCAATTAGATTTGGACCTATCAGATTATGATTTATGGTTACGCTTAACCTCCTCAGATATTTGAATTTCATGTTTAACTATATGGAAATTTTCTTGGAGTAACTTTGGGGATTTTCTAATAAAGCATGGTGAATCTCAGATATCTGATTAATGTCTTTTCACTTACTAGTCCCAGAAAAAAAGATGTATGTCCTTTGCCCGGCCCAACAATGTAAAGAAAATACACCCTGGCGAAAGGCAAAATAAAGGAACCATGACTAAACCTCAAGTAACTGATATGGGATCATTGATCTCTAAGCTACTGCAGTATAAATAAGGATAATTTGCACTCCTGAAATTCCTCAGCAGAAATCATAGAATTGTCTAGGTTGGAAAAGACCTTTAAGATCATCAGGTCCAAGCATTACCCCAGGACTGCCAAGTCCACCACTAAATAATGTCACTCAGGGCCACATCCACATGGTTTTTGAACACTTTGAGGGATGGTAATTCCACCACTGCCCTGGGCAGCCTGTTCCAATGCCTAATCACCTTCTCAGTAAAGAAATTTTTCCTAATATCCAACCTGAACCTCCCCTGGTGCAGCTTGAGGCTGTTACCTCTTGTCCTACTGCTTATTACTGGGGAGAAGAGACTGACCCCCACCTCACTACAATCTCCTTTCAGGTAGCTCCTTTCAGGTAGCAATAAGGTCCCCCCTGAGCCTTCTCTTCTCCAGACTAAATGCCCCCAGGTCCCTCAGCTGTTCCTCATCACACTTGTGCTTCAGGCTCTTCACCAGCTCCATTGCACTTCTCTGGACTCACTCCAGCACCTCAGTGTCTCTGTAGTGAGGGGCTCAGAAATTAACACAGGATTGGAGGTACAGCCTCACCAGTGCCCAGTACAGGGGGATGATCAGTGCCCTGGCCCTGCTGGCCACACCATTGCTGATACAGGCCAGGATGCTGTTGGCCTTCTTGGCTGCTGGGCACAATCTGGATCATGTTCAGCTCTGTCAGTCAGCACCCCGAGGTCCTTTTCTGCAGAGCAGCTTTCCAGCCACTCTGCCCCAAGTCCGTAGGATTGCATGGGGTTGTTCTGGCCCAAGTGCAGGACCCAGCACTGACCCTTGTTGAACCTCATTCCACTGGCCACAGCCCATCAATCCAGCCTGTTCAGATCCCTCTGCAGAGCCTTCCTATCCTTCAGCAGATCAACACTCCCACCCAACTTGGTGTCATCCACAAATTTACTGAGGGTGCATTTGATCCCCTGATCCAGATTGTCAATAAAGATATAAAGAACATTGGCCCTAACAGCGAGCTCTGAGCGGCACCACTAGTGGCAGGTTGCCAGCAAGATGTGATGCCGTTTACCACCACTGTTTGGGCTTGGACTTCCAGGCAGTTTCCAGCCTGGTGAAGAATCCTCCTATCCAGGCCATGAGCAGCCAGTTTCTCCAGGAGAGCCCTGTGAGAGACAGTGTCAAATGCTTTACTTACTTAAATCCAAAGCCACAATACCCACAGCCTTTCCTTCATCAACCAAAGCCACAATATCCACAGCCTTTCCTTCATCAACCAAAGCCACAATATACACAGCCTTTCCTTCATCAACCAGATGGGTCACCTTGTTGTAGAAGGGAGATCAGGTTGGTCAAGCAGGACCTGCCCTCCATGAACCTGTGCTGACTGGGCCTGATCCCTCCATTTTCCTACACGTGCTTTGTGATCTCACTTAGGATCATCTGCTCCATGACCTTCCCCAGCACTGACCTCAGGCTGACAGGCCTGCAGCTTCTGGGGTCTGCTTTCCTGCCCTTTTTGTAGAGAGGTTTCACACTGGCTAGCACCAAATCCTCCAGGACCTGCCCATTAGGCCAGGGCTGCTGATAGATGATGGAGAATGGCTTGGCAAGCTCCTCTGCCAGCTCCTTCAGCACTCTTAGGTTTAACCCATCTGGCCCCATAGACTTGCCTACGTCTAACTGGAGGAGGAGGTTGGTAACCACTTCTTCCTGAATTACAGGGACTTCAATCAGCTCCCGTCTCTGCCATCCAGCTCAGGGAACTGAATACCCTGGGGATGGCTGGTGTGACTACTGAAGACTGAGGCAAAGGTAAGCATAAGTACCTCAGCCTTTTCCTCGTCCTTGGTTACTAGCTTTCCCCTAGTATTCTATAAAGGATGGAAGTTCTCCTTGGCCCTCCTTATACTGCTAATACATTTGTGAAAGTACTTTTTATTATCTTTTATGGCAGTGGCCGGATTTAGTTCCGTCTGTGCCTTCACCTTTGTAACTTTACACAGCCTAACAACATCTTTGTACTTTTCATGGGGTGACAGTCCCTTCTTCCACAGGTGATAGATTCTCTTTTTTACCTGAGTTCCAGCACTATCTCCCTGTTTAGCAAGGCTGATTTCTAACCTGTCAGTTTGATTTTCAGTGCACAGGGACCGCCTGCTCCCGTGCCTTAAGGATTTCATTCTTGAATGGGGGTCCAGCCTTCCTGGACCCCTTTGTACTTCAGCAGTGTTTCCCAAGAAATTCTGCCAACCAGCATCCTCAACAGGCTAAAGTCAGCCCTTTGGAAATAAGGTAGACGTTTTGATGACTTTCTGCTGACTTCTCCAAGGACTGAAAATTCAGTCATGATTGCTTTGCCCAACACGGCCTCCAACCATCACATCACCCGCCAGTCCTCTCTGTTTCGAACAGCAAATCAAGCCATGCATCTCTCCTAGCTGGCTCACTCACCAGCTGGATCAGGAAGTTACCTTCCACACCTTCCAAGAACCTCATGGATTGTTTCTTTTCTGCTGTGTTGTACTACCAGACATCTGGTAGGTTGAAGTCCCCCACAAGGACAAGAGCAAGCAATCATGAAACTTGTCCCAGCTGTTTGAAGAACACTTCATCTGTTACTTCATCGTGCCTTGGTGGTCTATAACAGACTCTTACCAGGATATCAGCTTGGTTGGCCTTCCCCCTGATCTTTACACACAGACCAGCCTTGCCTTCTCACTCACAACGCTGAATTCAAGGCAGTCACTGCGCTCTCTGACATACAGTACAACCCCACATTTTTTTCCTTGCCTATCCCTTCTGAAGAGGCTGTAGCCATCCACTGCAGCACTCCAATCATGTGAATCATTCCACCACATTTCTGTGATGGCAATTATGTCACAATTTCCCTTCTACACAATGACTTCCGGCTCCTCCTCTTTGTTGTTCATGCTGCAGGTATTGGTATAAATGCATTTAAGTTGTCCTGTGGACCTGGACTCCAGCAGCAGCACACAACCCAATGGCTCATGTCTAGTGAACCGGGTGTTATCCCCTTCCCCCTTTGAACTTAGTTTAAAGCTCCATTCATAAGTCCTGCTAGCTTCTGGGCTAGAATCCATTTCCCGCTTTTGGGGCAGGCGTACCCCACTTGCCACCAGCAGGCCTCATACTGTGTAGACTGACCCATGGTAAAAAAAAAACCACTCTGAAGTGACACCAGTCACTGAGCCAGGAATTAATTAATGCAATTTTTCTGATGAAGAAATTTATTGATGCCACTGTACACTGTTTCAAAATACTAATTCATGAAATTGAATAAATGGATATGCCAATGGTGACATCAGAAATGCATGTCCTATCAGACCATTGTCCAGATATGAAGAATCACAGTATCTTGAAAAAACATGGCAGAAAGTACTCCACTGTACAGTTCTCAAAAAAGTATTTAGGGCACTGATGGTATATAGGTACCACAGTGAAAAAAACAGTGTCTATATTCACATCAAAGCTCAGACACTATATTTATCTTGCAATAAAGTAGTAAAAAAAGAATCAAAGCATTACAGGGTCTTTAATGTTGCTGAAATGTAAAGTGTGCATACCTTTGGTGTAGCCATTCATTGCAGCTCCAGATACACTATCTCACCATCCAAGCTATTCTGTGGCCTGTTTTAAATTATGTTATCTGATTTTCTGATTATGAAACTGTATTACTAATTGCTTAAAGAACTTTTAAACCTTTCATTTGCTAATATCTTCACAGAAGTATGGAAAAAGGCCAAATGCTGGTCCACACCTGAATCTGCACTTTTCTTCCTAGCTATAAATAGCTGAAAAAAGCCAGATTACTTTCAATGTTGTACGCGGAGGAACTTGACTTATTCAGTGAAGTATATCTGAGTGGGATAAAAAAGGAATCTCTTGACTCCATTATTTTCATGATGTCCAGCTAATTTATATACCTTCTTGCACTAGAAATACTCCTGAAGTCTCACTTCCCCATGTTTCAAAAAATGTACTTAACGAAAGAGTATGAGCACTTTTTTTCTTTTGGCTTAGGTTGTTTTTCTTTTGTTTGTTTGTTTTTTTAACAAGTTGAGACAGCAACCAGAAAAGGAACTGCCTTATCAGGAACCTGTGCATACAGTTCAACATTCTTTCCAAAGTCTACTAAAATAATCCATTCAGGACAATCAAAATGTTTGAGCTTGGTCCACTGGTATCTATATCAGTTGGGTACTGATTAGTAGCATATTTCAGGTATAAATGACTACTGGAAAAAAAACTATTTTATTTATACTAAATTGCAGAAGCACTAGTCCAGGAACAGCAGAATCTTGGAAAAAAAAACTCAGCATCTTCTAGATAATAGAGACCTTTTAGGCAACGGTTCTAACAAATCAAAGAAAAAAATATATTGGGTGTAAAGAAAATCACTACATAAGTTATGAATAAAAGGGTCTAGGGATACCTTATAGCAGCCTTCCAGTACCTAAAAGGGCCTAAAAGAAAGCTGGAGAGAGACTTTTTACAAGAGCATGTAGGGGTAGGACAAAGAGGAATGGCTTTAAACTCAGAAAGGGTAGAGTTAGATTAGATATTAGGAAGTTCATTACTGTGAAGCTGATGGAAGCAACTGCTGGAAGAGGTTGCCCCAAGGCCTTGTGGATGCCCTATCCCTGTAAGTGCTCAAGACCAGGGCTTTGAGCAACATAGTCTGGCGGAAGATGTTGCTGTCCATGGCAGAAGTCTGTAACTAGAATGTCTTTAAGGATCCTTCCAACACAAAAGATTCTGTGATTTTTTTCCACATGAGGTATCTTAAATTTTTAAATTTGCACTACAAATGTGAGCTCAAAACAGTTAT